CGTAGTTTTGTTTTCATATTCGGACGTAATATTTTTTTCCTGAAGCCCTAAATGACATGGAGAGTGCATCTATTTTAGACACGTCGTAGAGAGAGAGAGAGAGAGAGAGAGAGAGAGAGAGAGACAGAGAGAGAGAGAGAGAGAGACAGAGACAGAGACAGAGACAGAGACAGAGACAGAGACAGAGACAGAGACAGAGAGAGAAGGCCTACCGCAGATTTCTATTGACGTACAAGGGGTTCAGCTGGAGCTAAAATATCGACATTTCATTTTCCCCCCATGTCCACACGAAATAACGTGTCGTGAATTCTTTGATCTAGGCCCCGAACCAGTGTCATGTAAGTAGACCAGGGCTGAAGATTGGTTTGAACAGGCTAAGGGTCTCCAATTTTCGGAATGAGGACGTGAAATTATCCGTTGGCCTCGTATTTGGAAGTGGTGTTTGCATCTAGAAAACACATACTCTCCACCCCCCCCCCCAAAAAAAAAGCCTTTTTATTATTTTCTCATAGTTTTACATTTTTGTGCTTTCAGGGTAAGTGAGCGATTTAACAAACAAGATTATACCATTCTGCGTGCCAGAGATTTCAATCTGATCCCGCGCTATAGCGAAATGGAACCATAGGTCGGACAAGCGCATCAGAATGATATAATTATTATCTCAGTTAATCTCTTTGACCAATGAATAACCCACAACGATTTTTCTGCTACACATGGAGCGCTTTGTTGCCTCCCCGTACCCCTGCTAGGGCAAGCATCTTCATTTCGTGGTGCAGCTGATTTTTTTACGCACATGATTAAATTATGGTCACCATGCCATACAATTTGTACATTATGACATTGTTTCTGCCTTAGAAATGTGTGGACGGTTACATCGTGTCTACCTTCGATTTCTCTCTTTCTTCGTTCCCATCAAACATCTACCGTTCATTATCTCTCCTCCTTCTTTCTCAAACGCCTATCGTCATTTTCTCTCCTCTTACTGTTCTGTGTATGTCACATTCTAGTAAAACCTCTCATCTTCCGCTCTTAATTTAACTCATAATTATATTGCTTGTCGTGTACATTTTTTTTTACTGAAACTGAAACATTAAGCCCCCCTGAACTATAAAATACTTCGAGTTGTCATAGGGAGTAAATGAGTCAGTCAAATATCTTTTCTTCAAACATGTCCATCTTCTATACACAATGTATTAGAAGTTTATAACCTTCATCTTCGGTATACTGTCTCCATACTATACTGTGTGAAAAGACTACGTTATATCTATACCAAACAGTCTGTGCATAGTTGCACTGTTTCTAAACTATATAATATAGGTCGCTTTTAAGCACAAGGGGGCTATCCCGAAAAATGCTGTTTTGAGAAAATCGAAGGTAAAGTTTTTGCCCCTTGTTCAGTTTCTTTAAAAGACAAGGAGAGTTTTCTCTACAACAAAAAGAATATACACACCAATGAAACCAAACTTCTCCTGTAAGTAGGGCAATGCCTACTTTTGGTGTAGGTCAAGATTTCTGGAAACCCCGAAATCTTTGTTAGCCCACTGGTCCTTAAAAAGGGAATATATACAGTCTATGCATACCTTGTCTGTATACTTTATACAGCCTATGCATAATTACTCTGTCTCTATACTGTATACCGTCCGTGTATAATTACACTGTGTCTGTACTATATACAATCTGTATGTATAATTACATTATGTCTAGACTGTATACCGTCTGCGCATAATTACACTGTCTCTATACTGTATCCAGTCTATGCATAATTACTCTGTCTATATACTATATACGTTCGTGCATAATTACACTGTCTGTATATTAAATACAGTCGGCGCAAAACTACATTGTCTCTGTACTATCGTCTGTGTATAATTACTTTGTGTCTGTACCGGTACTATAAACCTTCTGAGCATAATTATAGGCCTACTGTCTTTGTACTATAGTATTATACCGTCTATGCATAATTACACTGACTCTATACCATATACAGCCGTGCATTATAACATAGTCTCTGTACCATAAACCCGTCTGTGGATAAATGCATTGTCTGTGTCTCAGAGCTACACAGGGTACTATATATTTATAACCTTCAACTTCAATGCGTTGTCTCTATATCATACAGTGTGTGTGTATGTGTGTGTGTGTGTGTGTGTGTGTGTGTGTGTGTGT